CTCCCCCCTCGGAGGCCACGATCCTCGTGAGGGGTGTCGAAAAATACCCTCCCCTGGAGTGGTCTGGTGGCTTCTCCCGGGCTTCTCTCGGGACCTTGCCGGGGTACTTTTCGTCCGGGGGCCCCCAGGGGCCGCTCCGCGCGCGCGAACTAGAAATATTGTTAACAAGTTACCGGAGATCTTAGCACGCCTCTGGCCCGTTGGGCCGGCGAGTTTTCAGAAATGGGAGCTCGACGGCAACATCGCTCTCGCTCTATACTCCCTCGTTTTTCATTTTCGCTCCGGCAGCAAAACCAGCGCTCCCGCTTGATGCTTCCTCGCTGTCTACTCAGGAGTGGCATTCGCGCTTCGGGTCCGCAGACCGGCCCCTCCACAACGGACCCACCCGCGAGCATCCACCCGTGACCCACCCCGTGATCCATTCCGCGACCCACCCCGCCAGGGCTCGTTTCGATTCCTCCGATTCGATTCGATTCGACGTCGACGGCTTCCGAGTACGATTCGACTCGACTTGCGACCCAGCCCCCAGCCGCGACCCACCCGCGACCCGCCCCGCACCCGCCCCCCATCATTATCCGCCATGGCGGGGTGATGCGTAAATTGTCGGAGTTCTGCGCGGACTTCTTGGATCGGCGCTCGGCGCCGATCCGAAAAGTCCGCGCGGAGCTTCCGAAGCTTATGTTTGCACCGTGTTTTCCTCTGTTTCCGCAAGAGCGCAGGCGGGGTGGACCTCGGGCTCTCCGTGGGCGCTTACTCCTCGCCGCTGATCTTTGCCCACCAAGCCACCCCAACGCAACCCGAAGGCCCCGCTTGGCCCTCCTCTTCCAGTGGGCGATCGGGGGGGGGGGGACACCTCGAGCTGGAATCGGCGATACATCCGCCGATAGATCGGCGATGGGCCCCCGACAGCGAGTCCGAACGTTCCTGGGCCGGGTGGGCCAGCTGGCCCCTATGGGCGATGAGCGATGAATGGGCGATTGGGGATCGAAGCGTCCCCCAGTGAGTCTACGCTCCGAAGGGTCGGGGAAAAACACTCATGAAGCCCGAACCCCCCCAACCCGAAATTCGGGTCCTCGGGTTGGGTTGGGGTGGTCTGGTAGGTACGGCAGGTTCGCGGCGTTTCGACCGGCGGCGATCCCGCCGCGGGCGTTCAAGGTTGAACGCCGCCAGTGGCCCAGATTCGGCCTACACCTTAGGCGATGCTTAAGAAAACGTACGGTTTCGGCCAGAATCTTGATTATTCTTATTGTTCCAATGGGAAACCTAACTTTTCAGTAGAAATTGGGAGGGTTTTATTCAATTTCTGAGATTATGAACTTCTTAACCCATGATTTCTTAAGCATTTCGCAGGGTGTACATTCAACGATCGGGAGATCGAAAAGCCGCCGCCGATCGTGCAAGGTTGCACGATCCACGCGGTCTCAGAAACCAACGCCCAGGCCTCACGACACGAACTTGCCGCAGTCACTTGAGGACCCCCTCGGGAGCAGCGTTGGGGGAGGACCAGTCTTCGAGGCTTGAGGCTCGAGAGGCTCGTCTTCCGAAGTCGGGCGTATCCCTCCACAGGAGGAATATTCATAGATACAAAAAATATCATGGGGACGATTTCTCTACAATGTTTGATTTGGTTTTGCATTATGTTTGACTATGTTTCATTTTCCGGCCATTTTCCGCCTGTAGGAGGACATGCCCGACCTGACGCTCGTCTTCCGGACGTTGTTCTGCAGGAGCAGCGCCAGAGGAGGATTGACTTTCGAGGGTCGTTGCGTTGCATCTTCGGAGGACCTCGCCTGTCCCCAAAATTGGTGTCTTCTCTTGTGCCCGACGCAGGCTCGATGCAGATTCGACGCGGATGTGGCGTGGATTCGGCGCGGATTCGACGTGGATTCGATGCGGATTCGACTTGTCCGACAGGGATTCAACACGGAGTCGACGCGGATAGAGGCGCAACGGGCCAGAGAAGGTCCCCCGAAGGTGCAACATAAGACGCCTGCTCGTCTTGGGGCGGCCTCGTGGCCGCGCCGCGATCCGCCTTGTGAAGTTCTGGCCAGACAGCACCCCTGGAGATGGCTAGGGATCGATGTTTGGCCTCGGAGGTCGAGGTCTGCGGATGTTTTTGTCGATTCTCCACAGTTGTCCAGTCTCGGGTTGCCGGAAATCAGGCGTCTCGCAATCTGGAAGGAACTTCTGGGGTTCGGGATGGATTTCGTCGACGCCATGAGGTAAAGGTTTTACGGCCACGGTGCGCTTTTTAGCGGCTGCGAATCGTCGAGGGCCTTCTGGGAGTGCCAGGATCGCCCCGGACGTCCGCCGGAGGCTTGAGCTGTGGCCCGAGAACTACGGGGCAGCGCCAGGGGGGGATGGGCTTCGAGAGGGACGCATCGATTCCCACCTCCCATGCATTCCCGACGAGGGCCCGATAGCCAACGCATCGATTCCCATCTCCCATGCATTCCCGACGAGGGCCCGATAGCCAACCCCGCTCGGGAAAGTGCGGTTCCGCTATCGGAGGCCCATCTTGGCGGCGCGCAGAAGGGGGGAGGGGGAGGAGGGAAGGCTGCTTAGAAGGAGCCTGCTTCTTAGAAGCCGCGGGCCTTACATTTAAAGACAAGGCCCGCGCCTTCTAAGAGGCAGGGGAGCTTCTAAGGAGCCTTCCCCCTCCCCCTACCCCCCTCCGCGCGCCGCCGACTATCGCCGATCTGCCGTCGATGTATCGCAGATTCAGGCGCCTCTTCGGGCATCGCTGGCGGGTCTTAAGGCCTCCCGGCGACGTCCTGAGGCCACCTTCGGGGATGATGACGAGGAGAAAGAGGATGAGGAGGATGAGGAATAGGAGGAGGAGGAGGAGGAGGAGGAGGAGGAAGATAGGAAGATCAGGAGGAGGGAACATCCCTGGGCCTCTTCGGCCCCGGGGCCACTCCTCAGACGGGGGTGAGAATTCGTTCAGAGTTTGATCCCGCACGCTGTGAGCCGTTGTGGCGTGCAGTGCGCGCTGGCGCCTGGGCCCCGTGTCACACCTTGTGGCCCGTTCTGGGACCCTCTTGTCTTGGCGTATGTTCTCAGGAGGAGAAAAAACACACAGACACAATCAATCGTCCACTCCCAGGAAAATATGGGAAAATATGGGAAGTGGGGGGGAATGACAGAAACCCAGAAAATATGGGAAAATATGGGAGGTATTTTTATTTGTGTGTATTTATTTGTGTGTCCCAGTTCCCCTTCATGTTCGAGATCCAGATTCTCAACCACAACTCTGAGGCCTCAGGGTCGGAGGTAATGATAGAGCGGGATGCGTCGACCCCATCTCGCCCACTGATTGCCGAGGGGGGCCCGAGAGCCTCCACCTGCACAGGAACGACAGGATGCACTGCCGGGGGCCTATCGCCGATCTATCGGTGATGTATTTCAAGAGGGAAAAAACACACAGACACAATTAATCGGCGATTCCCAGAAAATATGGGAAAATATGGGAAGTGGGGGGGGAAGACAGAAACCCAGAAAATATGGGAAAATATGGGGGATATTTTTATTTGTGTGTATTTATTTGTGTGTCCTAATTTCCCTTTAGTATTGCCGATTCCAGGTCGATGCGTCCCCCCCTGTGCCAGCCTCCCACCCTATCGTTGCCCCTCACAGGGGAAGTCGTCGCGCGGCAAGCTCCAACGGCGCTCGGACATCGAGGGGCTCTGGGCTGGCAGGAGACCTCCAGTCGTCGCGCACTCAAGGGTTTGACCACAGGGGGGCCCTGAAGAAGGAACCCTTTTCGTTGGGGAGGGGCTCCGCGTTCCTCAAGTGTTTCGCAGCTTGCCTCAGGTGTTCCTTCTGTTTCCGATCGGGAACCGAAGTTTAACTTATGGAGAAAAGGGGCCTCGCGCCTTGTTTAGGGTTCCTCGGGTCCACGCCGCGACTGTACAGGGGGGCCCGCGGTCGGAGGTGCCCTCGGCCCGACCTGGGCAGGTCCGTTCGGTTCGGTTCGATTCGCTCGAGTGCGGCACCGCCGCGCCCTTTCAGGTTGGAGCCGTTTGGGGGCCTGCGGTGGCCCAGCACGGGTTTCGGCCTGCAGGGACGGGCGGGCAGGTTCGAGGTCCGAGGCCCGAGGCGGGGACTAGTACATAATCGCATCCTCCTCCTCCTCCTCCTCCTCCTCCTCCTCCTCCTCCTCCGTCTGGGTTCGGAAAGGTTTTTTACCGTCATGACCCAGAGCACTGAAAAACGGATCTGGGGTGACAAATAGCACCAGGTGGCCCCAAGGGGGCCCGGGGACCGATTTTGAGCGGAGTCGGCCTCATCCCTCTCTCCTGACCGACGATTTTCGGAGGTTGATCGACCTCCTATCCTGACAAGTCGATTAGTGAATTGGCCGTCTTCGGTTCGCGAGAGGGCGTCGCGGCCGTCATTTTTGTGGGTCCAGGTCCGTCGCTTTCGATCCTAGGCCGTTTTCACTAAAGGGTGGTTTATTCAAGGGAGGTTTGTCCACCGCCGACAGAGGCACGGGGGGGGATCAGTCGTTGCGGCCCCAAGTAGCGGCGTGGCGCGTGGTGCTTTGCTATTGCTCTCAGTGCGGAAGGGGCGCTGCCAGAGCTGAAGCTACGGGTTGAGCAGGGGATCGAGGGGGGACATACCGCGACCAGTCCCTCCTATCCCGTTGTTGGCGCCTCCGGGGGGCTCTTGTCGCCATGGCTGGATTCGCCTCGAAAAAGTGGTCAGAACGCACCCTGCAGGAGGTCCAGTGGGGAACGGTATTTGTACATTTTTGCCCCCCAGGGAAGGAGGTCCCCGCAGGCCAGCAGATCCCCAGAGGCTCCCAGAGGCCTCCGCAGACTTTCCAGGCGCGAAAAGGTCAGAAGAACATCGAAGGCTTCGAGGGTCGATCCTCGAACGTCGCCGACGACGACGACGACGACGACGACGACGACGACGACGACGACGGCGGCGGCGGCGGCGGCGGCGGCGGCGGCGGCGGCGGCGGCGGCTCTTCCAGACGGTCCAGGGCAGGGGAGGCCGACGACGACGGCTCCAAGCCGTCCGGTGGCGAATCGCCAGGCCTCCTCCTCTACTCGTCGCCGTCCTCGCCGTCGTAGTTCGTCACCGCCGCCGTCGTCTGTCGTCGATCGTCGTCGTCGTCGCGTCGTCGTCGTCGTCGTCGTCGTCGTCGTCGTCGTCAATCATCGTCGTCAATCGGCATCGGTTTTCGGCGATTTTCCAGACTTGGGATGCTCTCCAGCAGCCGCGCCTCGCCGAGAGCGTTCCGGGGGGGTGCCCTTATCGTTTCGAACGGCCGCCGGAGAGCCGAGCCATGACCCCCTCCTCCTCCTCCTCCTCCTCCTCCTCCTCCTCCTCCTCCTCCTCCTCCTCCTCCTCCTACCCGAAAGCCAGGGAGCGGAGGTGAATGAGGGGCAGCATTCTGGGGGGATAGGCTCATCTTCTTTGCTGTTTGTCGACCTCGTCCCTCCTCGCAGCGGCCGTCGTTCGTCGACGTCCTCCCTCCGGGCCCCCCCCCCCCTGCTGCCAGCTTGTCTTCCCTGTCGTGGCCACGGCCTCCCCTTCCGCGGGCGCGAGCTCGCTCCGCGGAGCGTGCTGGGCTGATGGGCCTGTCTTCGGCCACCACCACCAGAAGTTGGAGGGGGGAAGGAGGTGGAGGAGGAGGAGGAGGAGGAGGAGGAGGAGGGAGGAGGAGGAGAGGAAGGAGGAGAGGAGGAGGAGGGAGAATAGGAGGAGGAGGAGGAGGAGGAGGACCCCCTCCCCCTTCCTACTTATGGTGGTGGCGGTGGAAAACAAGCCCACCGTGGGCTCCAGGGTCTGCGTCACGCTCCCTCCTCGCCCGGCGCCGCCGCGGCGGGTGCCTTGCCACGGGTACGGTCGGGCCAGGTACCAGATCGATGTTCTTGTTGCTTCGGCTGCTGGATCTCCTCTCCTCTCCTCTCCTCTCCTCTCCTCTCTCCTCTCCTCTCCTCTCCTCTCCTCTCTCTCTCTCCTCCTCCTCCTCCTCCTCCTCCTCCTCCTCCTCCTCCTCCTCCTCCTCCTCCTCCTCCTCCTCCTCCTCCTCCTCCTCCTCCTCCTCCTCCTCCTCCTCCTCCTCCTCCTCCTCCTCCCCAGGGGAGGGTTCCCATGATGTTCTTCGTGCTTGCTGGATCTTCTTGTGCATTCTGGGGGAGGGGACCCTGTACCCATCGGTCGTTGAAGGTAGGGATTTCTGGACTCCCAGAACCCAACATGCTTCAAGCGCCTTCCCACTTCAAGAATCGATCTGCTTTTGCTGCGGTTTGTTGCTTTCCTGGCGGGCCCGAACCCAAACTACTCTATCAGCCTTCCTACTTCATGTTTCTACCTACTTCTTCCGTCCGATGGGTCATGTTCTTCAGTTTGGCCTGCGGAGGGTCTCGTGTTCTTGAAGGGTGTTCTTCTGTCCTAGGTACTGCCGTACGCTGGCAGCGCGCAAGGGGGGTGCCAGGACAGGTGGCAGGAATCTGTGCCGCTTTTGCGCCAGATGGCGCAGGAACGTGGCAGGCTTCGGGGCTCAAGGGACGGGGGTCGATGCAAACGGGGGTTGACCAGAGCGACGGAAAGCTTGCAAGATCCTGCAGAGCGAGGGCTGCACTGACCCGGGCTAGGGCGCAGGATCCTGCAGGATCTTGCAGGGGCTTGCAGGATCTTGCAAAGCTTGACTGACCTGGGTTTGGATTGACCCCGGTCAGTAGATCCCCAAGCCAGAAGGCGCCACCGTTCTTGCGCTGCATTGGTCAAAGCCCTCTTCCACTGAGTACCATCAGGGTCGCGCTGACTCGCGTCCCCCCGCCTCCACGCCACAGACATGCTCCTCACACATTTTGTGGGTGTGGGTTTGTCACCGGTTCGGTTCGGTTCGGGTTTCGCGAGGTTCGGTCCCACCGGTTCGGTTCGGTTCGATTGCCGGTTTGGTTCGATTCGGTTTGACCGGTCCGGTTCGGTGCGATTAGCGACGTTGGGCGCCCCGTCTGCGTATACGACGGCCCGTTGTGCACAAAAGAAGGAAGAGGAGAAGGAGGAGGGGGAGGAGGAGGAAGTAAAGGAACAGGAGGAGGAGGAGGAGGAGAAGGAGGAGGAGGAGGAAGAAAAGGAACGAGGATGGGGGAGAAGCAAGGAGGAAGGAGCGAGGGGCAGGGCCGCGCCCCCGCGGCCTTGCGGCGTCCGGCGGCGAGGTGCCCGGCCGCGGCCGGCGCCCGGCGTCGTCGTCGTCGTCGTCGCCGTCGTCGTCGTCGTCGTCGTCGCCGTCGTCGTCGTCGTTGCCGTCGCCGTCGCCGTCGTCGTCGTTGCCGTCGCCGTAGAGGCCCTGACCTCGCGACCCCTTCCCTCTTTTCTTCTCCGTGGCCACGGGATGGGGTGAGGGCACGGGGGGGGGGTCGCCACGGGGGGGGCCAGCGCTCTGGCGAGGACTTCGAGGCGGATCCAGCCTCGGCGACGAGGGGCCCGCGGGAGAGCCGAGTGCGGCCCAGACACGCGCGAAACGTCGCCGCCCCGCCGCCCCCAGCGTCGTCGACGTCGCCGCCGTCGAGGGAGGACCAAGGTTCGAGGCTTGAGGTTCGGCCCCCAGGGGTCCGGGGGCCTTTTGTTGACGCGTTGGGCGTTCCTGGGGCCTCCAGTGCCCCCTCCCCTTGGCCACGTCTGGATCCGCTCCGAAATTCTTGCCCCCGGCTCCCTCTTTTGAGAGGGCCGCCGCCGCCGACCCACGACGACGGATCCAAAGTGGCACCTAAGGGGGCCTCGAGGGGCCCGCCGAAGGGGGGTCGCCACGGGTGGGGTTCGCTACGGGGAGGATCGCCGCAGAGGGGGTCGCCTCGGGGAGGGGGTCGCCGCGACGGAGGTCGCCGCGGGGGAGGTCGCCGCGGGAGTGGGTCGCGACGGGGGAGGTCGCCACGGGAGTGGGTCGCGACGGGGGAGGTCGCCACGGGAGTGGGTCGCGACAGGGGGAGGTCGCCGCGGGGGGGGTCGCGACGGGAGGGGTCGCCACGGCGGGGGTCGTCTCCACGGGGGGGGGGTCGCCACGGCGGGGGGGGCCGGTGGACTGCCTGTGGGGTGGTTCCCGCAGGAGCCCGGGCTCCCCAGCGGCGGCCCCCTGCCTTCTTCGCGCGAGGGGGCCGCCAAAGGGGCCCGCCCTCATGCGGTCCGCCGCGGACGACCCGCCCCGAACTGCCCCGACCCGCCCCGACCCGCCCCGACCCCCCCCGACCTGCTGCGTCGTTTTCACGTTCGTCATGGTCAGCATCATCACGCTTGCCCATATTGGTTTGGCACTGGCTGCCCCAAGCCTCGTCGTCTTCCGGGGTGGTTGAGGTACGGGGGGTCGTCGTCTTGCGGTCTTGTGTGGGCTCGGTTGTGACGTCCAGTTCAACCGGTTCGGTTCCCGTCTGTTCGGTTCGGGGGCCGCCCGGTTTCGGTTCGGTTCCGGTTCTGGTTCTGTTCGGTTCCGCCCGGTTCGGTTTTGATTGAATTCGGTCGGGCCCGGTTCGTTTTTTATGATCTTTGTTTTGGTCCGGTTCGGTCCGGTCTTGTCACGGTTATTTGTGATCGGCTTGCTTTTTTCTTTTCTCGTGTCCCTGTATCCTTGTATCCTGCGTGGCCAGCCGAGTGTGACAGTGAAAGGGTCGAAGAGCACGCAAACCGCGCCGGTTATATAATTTGCCATGTTCTAGGGCGATTGCTTCTCGGGACGATCAGTTCCTGTTCATTTTCGCAAGGGCTCCCACGAGGGTGCGAAGTTATTCGCGCTTCGCGGTCCTCGTTCCTTCTCCTCCTCCTCTTCCTTGTCCTCCTTTTCTCCCTTTGGGGGGGTGGCGCGAGATCGCGAAGTTATTCGCACTTCGCGCTTCGCGCAGCGCGAAGCGCGAAGTTGGGAGCCCTTGTTTTCGACAGGATTCGCTGTCCGCGCCGCCCAGACGTTTCTCCCTGAGGAGAAGAGCCGCCTGCCCAGCAGCGGCCGCTGCCGGTTTTCGTCAACATCTGTCGTTGGGCATCGTACCCATTTTTGCCCTACCCATTTCGGTCGTCCAAGGCTTTGGACGTGATTTCCTCTGGTTTCGGGTCGGGGATCGACTACATAATTGATTTATCCCAAGATGTTTCCCGTTGAGTCTACAAGAAATGCGCAGGGTGCCCCGTGCTCCGTAGATCTGAGGAGCACTCTACGCAATTGTTCACGCTTCGCGAGTCCCCACCAGCCAATTCAGAAGTCTTGCCCATGAAATCTGACTGGAAAACAGGGACAACGAGACACATATACTGAATCAGAGCGTGCAAGGAGAGATCTGAGGAGCACTCTACGCAATTGTTTACGTTTCGCGAGTCCCCACCAGCCCATTCAGAAGTCTTGCCCATGAAAGCTGACTGGAACAATTGACAACGAGACACATATATACTGAAACAGAGCGTGCAAGGAGAGGGGAGGAAGGAGGGTGTTAAGCCATCTTGGAGGGTATCTTGGAGCATCGGAGGCCTTCTCGGAGCTACTGGGTTGCATTGGGAATATTGGGGTCCTTCTGGAGCTCTTTTGGGGCATCTTGGGGCCCTTCTGGGGCTCTTGGGGGGGCCTTGGGGTCCTCTTGGGGCTCTTTTTTGGCGCCTTGGGGCCCTTCTGAGGCCCTCTTGAGGCCCTCGTGGGGCTCTCTTGAGGCTCCCTTGGGAGCTATGGAGCGCCTCATGGTGCCATCTGGCAGACCATCGATCAAAGAAGGGGGGGTCCTAGATTTCCCTCCCCCCTCCGGGGCCATCGAAATAGGCTGTTGGAGCGTTTGGGGGGCTCTCTGGGGCCGATCTTGGGCGCTCTTGGGGCAGTCTTGGGGGCCTCTTGAGCCCTTCTTGGAGCTCTCCTGGGCCATCTTAGGGCCATCTTGAAGCTTCCAAGGCGCATCGGACGCGAAACGGCGAGCAGGCAAACATCAGTGATGTTACTTAGGCTTTTGAAGGATTTTGGCTTCTCGGGGAGGTCCTGAGGGGTCGCCATTAGCACCTGGAACCACGGCCCTCTTGGGGCATCTTGGAGGCACGTTGTTGGCTATATTGAGCCATGT